TATTTTTTTTTTTTTGCACCCTCAGATTCCAGATTTTCAAATAGTTGTATCTCGGCCAAATATGATGTATAAATCTCAATTTTGAAAAATTGACCCTTATGACTGGTTTTGTGGTGCAGGGTCCATATGTTAGCATACTACTTGTGATGTTTGGAAGTACAATTAATTTGGTTGTTGGATTTTGCATATTTGGAAAGTTTAAGTTCTGAAAGTTGGAGGCTCTTCTGGAGTTTGTGGCAAATGTTTTGTGATTTACACTTTCAATACAGCATACATAATTGTAAATATATTGTTTGTTTACCTCTAAACAGTTGGCAGTAGACAGTGTTTTGAAGCAAGGTGACTTTGACGAGCAGAAGATCGCTGTGGTTGGAGGCTCTCATGGCGGATTCCTGGCTTGTCATCTGATCGGACAATATCCTGAGTTTTACAAGGCATGTGTGGCACGAAATCCCGTCACGAACCTGGCCACCATGATCGGCAGCACAGACGTTCCAGACTGGTAATGTGACATCAACCTTCACATCCAGTGGATATTAGAGCTGTCACTAACAAATATTTGAGTAATCGAGTAATCGGTCAATTATTCTAACGATTAATCGAGTAATCTGATTTTTGTGTGTGTGTGCTAATAAGAATAGACCTAAGCAAACAATAGACTTTAAAATTACTTAGCAATGACGCAATAATAATTGGTTCAAATAAAATATCAAAAGCAAGTAATCATATGGTTTTATTGAACAAAACAGTTAAAATACATAATGTGTAAAAACTATATAATCACAACTTTATGTATTATATCAAGTGCCTGCAGAGAGCGCCAACGGCCTTTACTGCACGATCTAATCCTTGTTTACTATTGACTAAACAACATTTAATTCAAATAGAAATGCTACAGCCACTGTCATTTCTTGAACAAGAATATGTGGACATCAGAACTTGCAAACTCAGAGCGAGGGGTTCAACTTTTATTTTGAAGTTGCGATGAACAGTTATGCATTCTCCTGTATTGGCGTAGGTTTATAAATGATTTAACTTATAAATCTGATAGAACTGTGCACATTGTTCCCAGATGAACGTTATAAGTAACTCAAACTCACAGCATATGCAAAGACGGAGTTTGAGATGGTCCGCACATGTAAATGATAACCGTTTGTGTGGAGCAGCATTTACTGTGAACGGAGCCGCTCTGAGACACACCTAACCTACACGCATAGCCTATAAATAAAGCGCATATTAAACCTTCAGCGCATAGACTATATTTAATTGAACCGATAGAATCGCAGTCTTTGTGAATTCACAATATCATTATACTCTATTGTGATTTTTAAATGGTTTTAATATTTCATGCAGCCTTAGAAAATGGTCTAATAATGCTTTTCATGGATTCTCTTCTGTGGAATGAGTCACTTCAGGTATTTTGGCAGGTAATCGACACTGGCAAAATGCAGTCAAGGATTTTTTTATAATCGAGTACTCAAATTTAATCGAGGAATCGTCACAGCCCTAGTGGATATCATACTGAATTACTTGATTTTAAATAGTTTCTCCCACATTTCTGTCTTAAAGGGTTAGTTCACCCAAAAATGAAAATTGGCTTGTGTTTTACTTCACCCTCGAAGCATCCTAGGTGTATATGACTTTCTTCTTTCAGACGAATCCAGTCGGAGTTATATTAAAAATTGTCCTGGCTATTCCAAGCTCTATCATTGCAGTCAGCGGGTGTTGCAGTTGAAAAGTCCACAAGTTGTCAAATAAAACTTGCGCATTCATAATAAAACGTGCCGCAGACGGCTCCGGGGGGTGAATAAAGGCTTCTTTTTGTAAGAAAAATATCCATATTTCCAAAGTAATGAACACTTTTATATCACTTCCGCCAACTGTCATACGCGGAAGCCGTGCCGGCTGATGTTGCGTGATTAATGACGAACGCGGAGAGACAACAAAACAAAACGCCAGTCACGAATTAGAAGTACAAACCGAAGATTTGCAAAGAAAAATGTTGGAGGATTTCGATATAAGCCAAGAGGAGAATGGTTTTCCTTTGCTTAAGTAAGGAAACTTTGCTTCCTTTGCTCTTATAAACAAACTCGTGAGACTAGCATGCCTCAGAGGCGCGCTGCGCATACGTCATACGTCATCTGCTGGAATGACTTCCGCGTATGACAGATACCGGAAGTGAGAGAAAAGTGTTTATTATGTTTGAAATATGGATATTTTTCTTACAAAAACGCATGGATTCACTACAGAAGGCCTTTATTCACCCCCCGGAGCCATGTGAAGCACGTTTTATTATGAATGCGCGCGCTTTATTTGACGACTTGTGGACTGTTCAACTGCAACACCCGCTGACTGCAATGATAAAGCTTGGAATAGCCAAGACAATTTTTAATATAACTCTGACTGGATTCGTCTGAAAGAAGAAAGTCATATACACCTAGGATGCCTCGAGGGTGAGTAAAACACAAGCCAATTTTAATTTTTGGGCGAACTAACCCTTTAATGTAATACAATTTTTTTATTTATTTAAATAAGAATAAAGTAAAGAGATAACAGCAAATAGTATGATGTATAAATGCTTTTTTTTCAATACAGTAATACTTTTTTGAGGGGTGTGCTTGATGTAATATGCAAATAAAAAACTACAAAACATGTATCAAGAAATAACTTATTTCTTTTGATTTGCGGGTAAAATAAGATTTATGTTTTGTGATGCTCACCTGTAGACTTTTGTGATGGCTGATGGCTTTGCGTGTGTGTGTGTTCAGGTGTGTGGTGGAAGCTGGATATGAATATAACACAGATATTCATCTTGAACCTGCTATTCTGGAGCAGATGTTAAACAAGTCACCCATAAAACATGTCAGCAAGGTGAGCAGATGCTGTTCTAATGCATTATTTATTTATTTATTTAATGTATTCCTTTATTTTTAATTTCTTAACTGCTCAGCTTGTAATATGCATGGTTGTGTTTGTTCCTCAGGTAAAAACCCCAGTACTTCTGATGTTGGGGGAAGATGACAAGCGTGTTCCCAGCAAGCAGGGTATTGAATACTACAGAGCTCTGAAGGCATTGCAGGTACCAGTGAGGTAAGTACAGTGACACTGACACTTTTTAGATGGGGTTTCTTTTATGAAACATTTCTCTGCTCTGGATCATTGGTTCATTAGTGTATCCGTGTGTCCACAGATTGTTGTGGTACCCAGGCAATAATCACTCTTTGTCCAAAGTCGACGCAGAATCGGATGGGTTCATGAATGCTGCTCTCTGGATTATCCAACATCTTTCTCTGTGATATCACTTCCTCTCCATAAATCATAACCAGCTTTTATTACACTTTATTAAAGTGATTTTAGCGTTTCTTCAGCTTTGTCGTTGTCATATCGAGGCATCAGCTTGGTGTTTTCCCTTCAGACCACAAAGGGGAAACTCATCAAAATTTGTCTCTGTGTGATGCGAAAAGCACTTGAAGTGGTTCACAGGCATATTGTGTGATATCTGATTTCTTACTGTTCTCAATAATGGTTTTAGTTTTCAGTTACTGACAGGTTATATTTGTGCCAAACTGGTTCAGTGTAGCTACTTTGATTTTCTGATGGTCTTCTGCTTTTTGTAATATGGTTACTTTCTGGGATATGTACTAAATGACTTACTGCATTCTTTTCAATAAAAAAATTTGACTTTCTGTATATCTGAAGAGAGTAACTTTCTGTGAAGCGGATTTCAAACTGATTTAAAAAATGTGGTGTTGATGGAACATCAATATCAGTATCACAGTGAGTACTAGCAGAAGCTTGTGTCTCTACAACTGAAATGCTATGATCATGCAATAAAAAGGGAAACCAACCAACCAACAAACAAATCCGGTTCAGTGCAAGAGAGGAAAAAATATAGTTTGGGCTATAGCCCTGACAGCCCAGTGCTATCCACTCCTCGACTTCGCTTTTCAAGACCTTCCAGGAGATAAGTGGCACACTAAAAGCGCTTGACCTCAGCAACAACGAATTCCACTTTGTAATGAAAGGTATGGGACATCGCTTCACATTCCTTCCACTCTTATCATCTCTTAAAATACTGAGTTCTAGCGAACAATCACATTGGTCTCAGAATCTCTAACATTCTTACTAGTACTTCTCTGAAGTATCTTGATTTCTCTGGAAATCGTTTGGACATAATGTGGGACTCTATGCGTAACCAATACCTACATTTCTTTCAGGGTCTTACTAACCTTACACAATTGGACATTTCTGAAAATCAGCTCAAATCATTCCCCCCAGAGAAACTTGCCTCCAAGCCTTCAGGTGCTCAGAGTGTACTCCAACATGCTGAGTTATTTCCCTTGGGGCAACATCTCAGTTCTCGAACAGCTCTGCCACCTGAACCTTAGTTCAAACATGCTTTCATTCTTACCTAATGTGCATTTTGAGCTCTGTCTCGTAAGCCTGGACCTAAGTCACAATCGACTAGTTGTGATCCCAAAGGCTCTCCTTAGTCAGGCAATAAACCTTAAAAACCTAATGCTTAACCACAACCAGCTGAAGATCCTTGTTGTGCAGGCTCTTCCCATGTCATTCCATAAAGGTTATACTTTCTGTCCTGTTGGGCAGCATAAAAACAAGTCCTCCTGCAAGCTCGTGCTGCATGCCAATCCTTTTACTTGTAGTTGCGTTATCTCTGGATTTGCCAAATTTCTCAGAGAAACTGATTTGGATATCCCACACCTCACCACAGAGGTTCACTGTGCTTATCCAGAATCATTTGGCTGATGTGAATGTCCTCTCGATAGATCTTCACCCATGCCAGGAGATATTTGGGAGCGTTGCTTTCCTCTGTACTTTATAATTGACATTGGCAGCAACCAGCATTCCCCTCCTGAAGCATCTCTATGGTTGGGACCTGTGGTACTGCATCCAGATTTTATGGACTGGACACAAGGGACACACTCCATCTAATGGCGGCAGCATGGCAGATAACCAGTATGATGCGTTTGTGGTCTTTGATACGAGTAACAAGGCAGTCGGGGATTGGATCTACAAGGAGATGGTTGTGAGATTGGAGAACAGAAGGAGATGGCGCTTTCGACTTTCTCTAGAAGAACGCGACTGGTTGCCTGGAGTATCATGCATAGAGAATCTCCACAAGGCCGTTTACAACAGCAGAAAGACGGTGTTTGCATTGACTAGCCCTAGTGGCTGTTCTCACGAAAGTGGAGTCGTCCGACAGGCCTTCCTCCTTGTTCAGCAGCGCCTTCTAGATGAGAAAGTGGATGTTGCAGTTCTAGTTTTGCTGGACCTTCTCTTCCCCAAATTCAAATACCTTTAGATGAGAAAACAGCTCTGCAAAAAATCTGTTCTGTCCTGGCCCAAGAACCCAACACTGCAAAAAATGCTTTTCTAGCTTAGATTTTTTGTCTTGTTTCCAGCCAAAATATCGAAAAATTCTTAAATCAAGAAGAATTTTCTAGACAAGTAAAAATTATTGTCTTGTTTTCAGAAAAAACAAGTCAAAATTAAGTGCGTTTTTGCTTGAAACAAGCAAAATAATCTGCCAATGGGGTAAGCAAAATAATCTTATTTCAAACAGAAAACAAGATTATTTTGCTTACCCCATTGGCAGATTATTTTGCTTGTTTTAAGCAAAAACGCACTTAATTTTGACTTTTTTTTTCTGAAAACAAGACAATAATTTTTACTTGTCTAGAAAATCCTTCTTGATTTAAGATTTTTTTCGATATTTTGGCTGGAAACAAGACAAAAAATCTAGGCTAGAAAAGCATTTTTTGCAGTGAAGAGTACAGCCACTCTTCTGGAATAATTTATGTGTTGCTCTTGTCTCTGACAATGACTACGTTTACGTGTGCGCACGAATAATGCGATAATTTCCAATAATCAGAGTATGGACATAATCGCATTATGATGTTTACATGTCCAGAGCAAAGCTCTTCACTCCCGTTTACATGCAATTTACATTATTCTTATTATTCGCTAAGAATTGTGGTTAAATTTTTTACTGCCATTATTCACATACCCCACTGCACAGAACAAATGATGGACTCAGAAAGAGCAGGTGTGTTAACTGGCCACTGTTTTAATTTAGGCCTATTTACGTCTAATGCAAAACACTTTTGTATGGTTGTATTCCATGCTGTTTCGGCGCCATAGAAATGGGATGGCAATTCGTTTGCCTACGCTGCCGTCGCATTCTACTCGCCGTTTCAGGATGAAGCTGGGTAAGAAGCAGAGACTGGTGGCAGCAAGTTGTGTTTTCCCCTAATGTGATTCTTTCTTCCCCTCCATCGTTTCTAATCTGCGTATTATTACAGGTGTGTGTCACGTCATTCATGTATGTCACGAGCACATGTGCACTTTGGTCAGAGCGCCAAAACTGCGATTAAGGTGTTTACATGCCTATATATTTTGATTAAAATCGACATATGCCACCTATGTTAATACGATTATGCTTGCTGCGATTATGAGCTTAATCGCATTATTTAGATCGAAGTATTGCATTTACATGAGGTAAAGTTTAATCGCAATATTGCCAAAATCTCATAATCAAGGGTGCATGTAAACGCACTCAATGTTAGAGCCTACAACAAGAATGTCACAGAGAGCTTATAAAAAAGGATGAAATGTAATGAGAATGTTGTTTTATGTAGTCCTGTTGTTTCAGGATTTTGTTTGTTTGTTAGAATGTATGATCTTATCATGGGCTACTGGAAGTATTGAAAATATTCAAAGATGTTGCAATATTGAAAATCTTAACATCTTCTGGCAAACTCAGTGATTGACAGTGATATGCCAGAAAGTAGAAACAGCTGAAAGATAAAAGTATGTACTGTCATATCCAGAAGCGGACAAAGTACTCAACTCCATTACTTGAGTGAAAGTACAGATACTGCTGGTCAAATATTACTCCATTACAAGTAAAAGTTGTAAAGACAGATTTTTACTTAAGTAAAAGTACAGAAGTACTTGCTTTTAAAAGTACTTAAGTACCAAAAGTAAATTTCCTTTTTTATGTCAATGCACTGTTTTATTGTTGTATGTAATACTTGCAATACTTCTGAAGCAACTTAGAATACATTACACCTACTGAATACACTGACTAGCTTGTAGTATCTTTGGAATAAAGAGCTTTTAGAATGTTAAAAACCTATGGGGAAAAAAATTAACACCCCTACCCACCCCCACAAAAGCAGGATGGTAGTGATCTCACAGTTCTGACAGTGCGCACACATCTATGTGTAGCCATTCATCCACATGTGAACAGAGTGGACAGTGAAATTGCTGTAAATACAGTCTGATAAGGAAGAAAATAAAAAATCAAACCTGCTTTAAAACCCAGCAACACAACTGTAGCTGTATAGAGAAGAAAGAAATCACCCACTGACTTTCAAGGCTGCTACATAGTAATGACTTTCTACTTCGAGGACCTTGATAGAAATGTAGTGGAGTGAAAAGTACAATATTTGTCTTTCAAATGTAGTCAAGTTAAAGTCATACGTTTCCAGAAAAAATAATACTCAAGTAAAGCACAGAAAAGTATACTTAAGTACAATACTCAAGTAAATGTACTTAATTACTGTCCGCCTCTGGTCATATCTAAATAAGTACTTATTCTTATACAGAAATGTATCACTCACAGAGATTTATGAAGCTTAAAATATGACAAAACTATTTGAATTTGAATTATTGACAAGTGTCATTTAACAAAACTGAATATTATGTGGCATTTAACGGTTTTGAATTTGATTTTTTTTTTTTTTACTTGAATTTTGAACATTTGAAATTTAACACAATTGAATTGTTTTTATGGCAGATTTTTATAGACATGTATTTTCAAACAGCAGATTTTTTGCTCTGAATTCTTAGACTGCAAATATCCAGTTTTTAACAATACAGCTTCAAGTTTTCAAGATGAAGAAGAAATTCAGAACATCAAATTCAATATTCTAAAATTCAAAATGCAGAAATTCAGATCATACAGAAAGTAGGTCAGAGATCATCCACAGGGAAGAGTAGATGAAAAGTCGAACGAAGCATTTTGGCCAATTACTCCGGTGGGACATGTTCGGTTCACTTAGTTTTGTCATGGCGACTACATATTAACTCGTGGGAACATGGTAATATGTCGTGGCCATGAGATCATTTTGTCGAGGTAACGATATCCTTATGTCGTGGCCACGCGATGTGAAGTTGATGGCCGAGAGAACAAAATCCATTTCTTGACTTATATTGAGGGAATGACAGTGTTTGAAGTGGGCACTTTTTCGTGCGTACTGGCAAATTTGACATGTTACTTGGAGTCAAAGCGTCAGTCAAGTCAAGTCAAGTCACCTTTATTTATATAGCGCTTTTAACAATACAGATTGTGTCAAAGCAACTGAA